CATGGATATTTATGTTGGCCTTAAATGTTAGGAAATTATTTGCCTTCACAAATTTTTGTCATGCTTTTCTGTAATTATTGACTTGCATAATATTAATGTGTACATATCTCTTTCTTATGCTGCAGCGCATTACCATTCCTGAAATTTTGCAAGATGAATGGTTTAAAAAAGATTACAAACTCCTGTGTTTGAGGAGAAAGATGATACGAACTTAGATGATGTAGAAGCTGTTTTTAAGGATTCTGAAGTAAGTGGATCAGGTCTTTCCCGAATTTATAGAACAATTGACGTCCACATACTTGACAAATGCTGTTATATTTGGTGCTTAACTTTTTTTTCTTTAGTAAGTTTGCACTGTTGGTTCTGTAACAGGAGCACCATGTAATGGAAAAGAGAGAAGAACAACCAACAGCTATGAATGCTTTTGAGTTAATTTCTATGTCAAAAGGGCTAAACCTTGAGAATCTGTTTGGTACAGAACAGGTTTGCATTTTAATAGGCTTTTCCTTTTCTTGACTTTATTTTTGTATATCAACTATCAATTGTCTTTCATTTTTATGACTTTGTTATTATTAGAAGGGAAATACACTGTATGTCCACTGCCAGATAGAATATTATCAGATACTATTAGGCTATGAAGGCTGATAACTAGCTGGCCTCCTTTCCTATTGATTTTATTTTCTTAATTGTGTTTTTAGAAGTTTATAAAGTTGGGTTATAAAAGTAGCAAGTGTTTCTAATATTGCATCAAAAGGTCTTCAAGATTTCGAAGGATGAACTGAAACTGGATTGGCCATCACAAAATCATTTTATTGATTTAAAAGCAAATATATAGTGCCCCTTTGCTTGAGAAAGATAACAACTGATATTAGGCCGGCTGTTTCCAAGTTTTGGGTAGTAATAGTATGCTGTAGCACATAAATGAATAGTATCTTCAAACTACTAGCTCAGAAGCTACTAAGCACATTTTCATTTATTTTATTATTTATTGTCAAATAATCAGAACGAGCTTTTGCCTTATTTAGACCATATGAGAAAATTGTGACAAAATTAGTTGGTTAGCTGGCAGACCATATAAGGGGTTTACAATGGGAAACTTAAAAAATTTTACAATTATGAAAATGGAGTTTCATGGTTGTTCTATTTTGTGCAGGGATTTAAGAGAGAAACAAGGTTTACATCTAAATGTCCTGCTAATGAGATTATCCATAAGATTGAGGAAGCTGCGAAGCCTCTTGGATTTGATGTGCACAAGAAAAACTACAAGGTGAGCGACTCTTATGCATGCTATGAAGATAATTATTGAAATCTATATATCAAATTTACTTATTATTTTATGTAGATGAGACTCGAGAATTTGAAAGCTGGGAGGAAAGGGAACCTTAACGTTGCCACAGAGGTAACTTACAGCAATATTTTATTTAAATCTTGGCTTTAATTTTGTACTTATCTTTGATTTATGTCAATCAGATATTTCAAGTGGCACCTTCTTTACATATGGTTGAGGTGCGAAAAGCAAAGGGGGATACATTGGAATTCCATAAGGTAACACTTGATTCTCTTGTTATAATTTCACTACATTTTCTAAATACGTTAGTTTTTTCCAATTTGGACAAACTACCGATGAGAGTTATGTACTGGCATATGATGATTGATTGCTCATAGCCAATGGAAATGAGTGATCTGTTTTGCCCAGCAAATAGATTAGGTTACATGTGATGGAAAATGCCAAATGACTTTTCTTCCTGTCATAATTGTTGGATATGTAGTTGTTTACTGCATGATCAGATTCTAATTATGAATATAAATGACGTGTATTGCATCAAAATCCATTCAGCAAGTCCTCAGATTGTCTCTATGACATTATATCAGTTAAAGCATACTTGAGCAACACAAGCATCTTAGATGTCAATAATGCCACCACCAAAAGATGTTTGTCAGATTAGTAGGGTCAAGAGCTCTCATTTTATGATCAAAGGTTCCAATTTTAAATACATATGCTCTAACCTGCATGCTCAGACCAAGTGTCAGAGGACAATAAATTTGGTTTAGTAAGTTTCAGAAAGAAATAGTGGTATTTAACATTGAATTGACAGTGGATTCAAACAATGTTTTAATGAATATGCAACTGGTAGAAGAACAGCTCTTAAAAACCTGTCTGGTGGTCTTTCAAGTCTCTTAGTCAATTTACTGCTTGCAGTTGATTTCATGTCTGTTCTAAACTCAGCTTCGTCGTTAGTGAGATTAGATTTTGCTGGCCGTCAAATGTTTCATTTGTTTTTCCTCTGCAGTTCTATAAAAACCTTTCAACCTGTCTTGAAGACGTTGTTTGGAAAACCGAGGAGGACATGAAAGAAGTAAAGTAAACGTATGCACTCCAACTGTAATGAATTTTGATCTTTTGTTCATGCTATTGTTGAATTTTCCTCAGTTGCTATACGTCTTCATTTTTTTTTTTCTTTTTTCTTTGTGTTTTGGGATTGTTTTCTTCTTTTCTTTTTTCCTTTCTTTTTCCTTTTCCTGTATGATTAAGCAGCCGTGGTTGTTCCAATTGTTTTCCGTGTTATTAGTGTTGGAAAGCATGGATGATTCCCATGGAATGCAGTGGTTTGGTTTACCCTTCTATGTTAAAATGTCAATGATGATAAATGGTGAATGATATTTGAAAAATAAAAAGGAAAACCCTTATATTTTGATTTTGTTTCTTCCTCTGAAAATTATATTATAGTAGTAGTTTCTTTTGTTCGGTGGAAAGAATATATGCATTTTTGAGTTTAAATTTTAAGATTTGTAATTTTTTAATTTTTAAGTTATTATATATATATATATATATATATAGAGAGAGAGAGAGAGAGAGAGAGAGAAGAGATAACTTATGCAATGTAAAATTAAAAAAAGTATACCAATTTTTTTAATTATTTATTTCAACATATTTAAGGAACGAGAGAGATAAGTAAAAATAAAAAAATAATTTATTTTATTTTTTGGATTTAATAAAATCAATGGTGAAAAAAAAAATTAAAACTAGAAAAGAGTTACATTGTATAAGTTAATTTTTACTCGTGTACAACATATATATTAGTTTTTAACACGTACATGACTTACATATAATTTTTATTTTAAAAAATTTTAATTCAATAAATAACTTTTATAATATTATGATAATAATGATAAATAATAGGATTTTCATTTTATTTTAGTATAATATAATTAAAATTTAATAATTTTTTATATAATTTTTGTTTTGATAATGTTTTATATGTTTTGGTAATTGTTGTTAAAAGATTGAGAATTTTTTATAAAACTTGGGTAAAATTTTAATATAATTTTAGTAACTTTCGATATTAGTTTTGTGAAGATTTGTGATATATTGTTTAATTCAAAAGTCTTATAATTTTGTTTTCGCAAATAATGACTCACAACTATTTTGATATAAAAATTTTCATGGTTTTCTTTTACAAAGTGTTTTACAAATATAAAGTTAAATTTATATATATAATATCATATTATATTTTCACTTTTTTTTCAATAAGAGATTGAATGTGTCACAATCTTATTAAAATTTGATATTTTATCAAGCACAATATAAAACACATAAAAAATTAAGATTATATCAAATATTGAGAATTTAGAGCGGATAACATTGATAGTATTTAATTCTCTTAAAATTTTAAAAATGATTTTCACAATATAACATGCTATTTCAATTTGATTGATAATTATTGTAAAATTATTTATAAGTATTCATATCTAACTTACGAAATATTATCTATTTTAACTTGAAAATTTCATAAATTTATCAAACAAAAAGCGGAACATTACAAAGTATTGCTGCTTTGAATGTTCTTTAGTTGCTCTAAATTTTCATTCTTTTTTTCCCTTATGTTTTTGTTTTCGGGACTGTTTTTTTCTTCCCCTTTTATTTTTCCCTGTAGGATTAAGCAGCCATGGTTATTCCAATTGTTTTCCGTGTTATTAGTGTTGGAAAGCATGGATGATTCCAATGGAACACAGTGGCTTGATTTACCCTCCAATGATAAAATGTTGATGATGGTAAATGGTTAATGATATTTGAAAAATAAAAAAGAAAACCCTTGTGTTTTGATTTTATTTTTTCTTCTGAAAATTATACTATAGTAGTGGTTTCTTTTGTTTAGTAGGAAGAATATATGTAAATTTAAATTTAAATTTTAACATTTATAATATTTTTATTTTTAAATTACAATCTTTTATATATATATATATAAAGAATATAAGAAGAAAAAACACTAAATATGTTTCCATATTTGGAACTCATTGTGAGCATCACGTTCATGCCCTCTGCAATACGAAAAGTTGCAACTTTTTGTAAGTTTGGTAAGAAGTCAACGTCACATTGGAAGCCAACCATGTGACAGTAAATTGAAAGAGAAAATTTTCAAAGCAACGTATAAATAAGGTTGCAAATCTGTCTCTCTTTGTTTGAAAAGAGAAATTGAATTCTGACCACATTTAAATTACGTTTCCACAGGCATATTAGCCAGTAAAAAATTTGTTAAAATACATTCTTATTCATTTATAACTTTTCACAGATTCCAGGACAACTTTGAATTCCTTGATTGTTGTGCCCAAAACGTATTGCTTTTCATGTTGTCAAATCAATCTTGGTCTAATTATGTAGAAGAAACGTTAAGGACCAATAATACCGTGAATGATCGGATTCTAAGTCGTAGGTTTTTTATGTGGCCATGAATTTCCACTTACTATTCTAGATTGCCATCCACTTTCGAGTGGGGTTTTGCTGTTGTAACACGAGAAAAGATTGTACGAAAAGACCGTTATATGGTATCAATATAATTTTTTTTTAATTTAAATTACGCTGTCACTATTTTTTTATAAAAATTAATTATTTATCATTTTTTTAATTTTTTTTTATAAAAATCCCAGTATATGATATGATATTAATGAAAAAAGTTCTTTTTTTTAATAGAAATGCAATTATATATAACCAAGCCAACGGCAGAAAAAAAAAAAAAACTGGCGCATGAAATCCTACATATGGTGACATACATCAGGGGTACGGCAAATTATGTTCATCACAAATAAACATTAAAAAACTGAAAAAAAAATAAAAAACCTAAAATTCACCATGCAAGCCAACTTTCTGAACAGCTGAACAAGCCAACAGCCAAACAATGGAACACATAACCCATTTTCTTTCACTGAAAGGAAAATACATGATGCATAAACATAAACCAGACTGAGATACGATGCCGATGCCATCGCAAAAACCACTGCATGTATTCATACAAATAGCCCAAGACTTCATCAGCAAGCTCAAAGTACACAGATTAGTAATTACTTGTCATTCCATTGGTTCTTGATGAATTAATGAACTCCAAAGATAGAGTCATTAGAATGCAGATAACAGAGGAACAAGGCCAGAGATTTTAGCATACAATCTTCTATCTGACAGCCAGAAAGAGTTCCAGTAAATGTACCATAAAGTATTCTGCTCTTCTTTCTCACCTTTAAATGTCGGAACTCACCTGGCTTTGAAAGAAAAATTATGAAGCTTCGAGAAGTCGGTACATAGTGATTTCTTGCTGTTTGAAGTACCGTCGATCTTCTTCATCCACTAGAACAAGATTCAAATAGTATTTCACACTGTATTTGTTATTGATGTTGCGGTACGTTGGTGTCAGTTCATATGGACTTAAGAAAAGTCTGATTGGAATCGATTCTCCTGTAAAAGCATTAGAAATAGCTCAATTGAGAAATTTTCTCAATATGGCCCATGACCCCAGGACCCAGGTGATGGACATAACATGACTCCATAAAAAGTATCTGATCAAAGCGAAGCACAGCATATTAAAGAAGAACAAGATTACTAGCAATAGTTTGAGCACAAAGGTGCATAAATACAACTATCACCTTTTTCATGTAGAAATCATAATTTACCATAACTCTTTTTTTTCTCTTGTCAAATTGATATCAGAATATTTATTTCTGTTTAACATTTTCAAGGGCATGTTGCAGCACCAGAAATCGGTATATCTGTACTTTTAAACCTTAGTCTAAAATGATAATATTGCAACTAAAGTAGAAGTCTTGCTTGCCTGCCAACTGTAGTGTACAGTAGTCAGCAAGCACCAATATCATCCTAGCATGGAGAGGGTTTTAGAAAGTAAATTGTTCGACCAATTCATTGTTGAGGCAAATAACAATAGTATGAGGCACTCGCTAAAAGCACAGTTGTATAAGTGTTCTGTGTCACGGATTACATATCTGCCTAGAATTCTAAATTTGTGACATTCAAAATATAAAGGGTAAATTATAAAGCTACAAAATATGGTGTGAAATAGAGAAGTTTGCTAGGGTACCTCTTACAGGAGCACCATCCATCAACTCGAATTTTGCAAGGGTCTCTGTCTCAACATATGTATTAGGCCCTGATCCAGTTGACTCTCGACGTCTGATCTCAAGCTCCATATTTTTTAGCTTAATTCTAACTAGAAGAAAATATATTTTTCCAATAATGACATCCTTCAAATGATACCTGTATATTTCAAAAACCATTATAAACACATTAGCATTCTTCCAACTCAGTGTAAAATAAGTTGCATGGATTTCATATAAACTCCTGTCAGAGAAACACACTTTAACTGACATACTTGCTTTTACTGTATTCAAATTCAATGTGTAGACAATCCTCAATCCCCACTTCCATCTAGATGAACCATCAATACAAACAAATAAAATCAATATGAGATTCCAAAGCATCAAAACTAGTATGGAGTAGTCACATCTTATCAACCATTAAATTACCATGGAAACAATTAAACATAAAGTTTTAAAGTCGTTCCGATAGCTTTCACAAAAATTAACATTGGGAATATCAGGAACTAGTATGGGGGATTTTATAGCACAATGTAATTTGTAAAGAGGCTAATGGATCATCTCTGTAAGAAGAATTGTGATAAAAATAACCAAAATTTAGGCACAAGGCACATCTTCATAAGGTCAAAAAGAGAATAAATGAAGTAATTGTATTGGAGCAGTAAGACAAGTTAAAGTAACTTTTGATACACAAGCATTTATAAATTTCAAAGGAAAGAAATCTTTTAATATAAATCTCATCAGTTAGCTGAAGCAATTAAGTATCAGGAAATAAAAGGAAATGTCCTTACCTTAATACTGTTATTGATTGATGGAGGTGGAGTATAGTTGCGAACCTGGGAATTTTGGAAAAAAAAGGAAAAACAAATTTCAAGCTGCTATACTATATCCTGGTAATTAACTAATTGAACAAGAAATCTTTTACAAGATAGGAAAATATAAAATGGATGCAAAGGAAACTCCTTATACCTTGCTATGGTGGTGCATTAAGAGGACAAAATAGCAAAGAAAAACAACAATTGAGATCTGAGTATCCTTACAGATGCTATATAAGAGGAGAGATCATCAAATATTAATATCTTCTAGGGAACAGTGCATGTGGAAGGAGTCTTAAACACTCTTCAGAAGGTCTTGAGGTCCAAGACACATACAAATTTGCTATGTAGTGAATTAACCACATCACTGATAGTTTTAATTTATTTTCTAAATTCAAAATTCACTACATAGCATCATGCTTTATCTATTTATTTCCATTAATCATAAGTAAGGCAAAAACGATGCTTGGCAATTCTAATATATTCTATTCAAGTCAACACAAGGACAAAAGATTGGTGTTTATTTTGACAATGATTATCGCAAAGAATTCTGTGCATGAAACATATGATTATGGATAGGAATATTTTCTTTAGATAATTATAAGACTTCGGATAAACCAGTCTTAGAGGACTTAAAAGGATATTTAACAAGAGCTCAAAAATCAAGATCTTTAAGGACAATAAAATTCCACTGTACCATTTCAAAAATGATTTCTTATTCTCTCTCAAAACCAAGGAAAATGTTTATTATACTTTTGTCAAATCTGCTCTTAGTTGATTAATTAAGACATATGAAGATGCCTTCCAACAAGAAGAGGTTAGTCCCTATTCCCTAACAACCAATGTATCGTCGCATATCAATCCTTCAAGTGAAATCAAGTCTTGACACAATGATAAGGTTATTCCATCCTGACCTGGAAGGCATGGGTGCAGAAACAGTCTCTTTGCCAGCAGTAAGGCTGTGCATCTGAAACTCCCTAGACCTAGCTATGTTAGATTCTGGAGTGTTGAGCCACCTTAAAGATCATCTAGAAAAAGAAAAACTTCCTCAGTCTCTCATCTTTCAACAACTCCTCCACACCTCATGCATTCCTTTTACATTGCAAACTCTTTTTAATTTGAACAGGTAGGTATATCACTCTTGTGCCTCTCCCTAGACCTAGCAATGTTAGACCCTGGAGTGTTGAGCCACCCTTAAGATCATCTAGAAAATAAAAACTCCCCAGTCTCTTATCTCTCAACAACTCCTCCACACCTCATACATTCCTTTTACACTGCAAACTCTTTTTATTTGGAACAGGTAGGTATATCACTCATATGCCTCATCCCTAGACCTGGCAATATTAGAACCTGGAGTGGAAAAGAAAAACTCCATCAGTCTCTCATCTTTCAACAACTCCTCCACACCTCATACATTTCTTTTACATTGCAAACTCTTTTTCTTCGGAAAAGGTAGGTATATCACTCCTATGCCTCATATTTCACCTCCCACCTTCACATAAATCCTACTATGCACAATTGAATTCGTTCTCCAACCATATAACATGAGCTTCCAAAGTGCTACTCACTGCTGGTACAAGCCTTTTGTGATCACTCTTTGGATAAGTCAGCATAACTAATCAACCAAAAATATATATATATATGGAAGCACTTTTACAAGTGTAAAGCACAATGAAGCAATTTCAATCAAAAGCAGAATATTTTAAATGAAACATAATGGTAATTGCATTTGAATAAATAAGGTAAGATACCCTCCCAACAGCCCCAGCCTCTTTACCATTAACCTGGAAGTATAGCTCATATATAACGGCCTATCAAACAAATACAATCAATTGCCTTCTTTTCTCCAAAGATGTAGAAAGCTAGGCACTGTAAGTGCATAATAGTAACTTCTAGGGCTTAGGACTATACAAAATCTTGGTACTCCGAAAATAAACAATGATAATATGACAAAATGTAAGGGAAATCCAAATTACATTTCAACTAGAATAGCATGATAATTCCATAAAGTGCTTATACAAAATACATTACCACAAAATCTTGGTACTCCACAATGTTGCTGACAAAGTTTCTACTGATTGTCACTTTCAGAATATACCTACAAGTTTGCAATGAAGTTTAGATAGATCAGTTATGTGTTCATATTCTATTTTAATGGATCCTTGGTTACTATTTCATTGCATATATTCAGTCGGTAAATGGTGATAATCTCTCAACTCAATGACAATCATAAACAATTAATTGAATTCCACAAAGAAAACTAGGCACTATGGAAAGCAGGAGTAACCATAAACAAAGCTAAAATAACTAAACATAAACTTATGTGCTTCTTACTCCAGCATGACAAGGATAACTAAAATAAGCACAGTAACATTGATACGAGGATAATGTTCACAAAAAGGATAATTTCTAGACACATAAAAGATTTATCATAAAAATCAACTAAAAAATGAAATGGATAGCCTACCTAAGCCTAACATTGACTCCGTTATAAGACTCATATGGCATCTCCACCGTAGAAAATTCAAATGGATATGTTTTTCTTTCATATAATTCACCAGGAACATCAAGTTCACGTACTGCAGACCAAAGAATGAAAATAGGAGCAAACTTAGAAGCAACTTACCATAAATCCATAATAATCAACAGAGGAGCAACAGATATTTAATATCCCATGCAATGCCACCCCAAACCGACAAGATAGAGAGAGAGAGATGGGGGAGGGGAAAGAGGAAAGGACCACTTGGAAAACAAATAGGAATACTTGGAAGGATGCATAAAATTGTTGGTTAAAGTAAAGACTTCTTAAGCCTTTTCTTTTATGGTCAAATACACTCACCCAGAGAGGTAAAATCATAGAAGTTGCCTCTATCGAAATACAATTCTGCAAATAAGAAAAATATTGTCATGGTCCAGGTACAGTGGCGTCAGCATCATGCTACATATGCAGATCATCCTTCTAACATTTCACTTTATTGAAAAACTCTGGCAACCAAGATTCACTACAAAACAATTTAAAGTACAGAACAGACTCAAGTATAACAAAGAGAATAACAACGTAATAGAAAGCAGGATTATAGATTGACTTAGGCTAAATTATAGGCAGCTCTTAAAGATTAAAAAAGGCATGTAACAAATATATACATATTGGTTTTAAAGCTAACAGTCCAATGGCAGACCTAAAAGGAAAGACATGGAGCAAATGAAGCACACCTATCTGACCAAGGAGCTCAATTTTAACACCATTATGTTCAACCTTCATCCCATGTATTGGTTCTATAACTACCTGAAGTATCAGTAATAAAAAGTCAAATCATTCATACAGTTTTGACTGAAAATAATTAAAAAAAATGATTTGCATATAATAAGCAGATAAACTCAATCATATGTTTCAAAATGGAAACACGAAAAACACTACCTCTCCTACAATATTTTCTTGGCTCTGGAAGAGAGCAACCATAACTGTTTTCCCATTTTCCTTCTTTAGAGGAACCTACAAATAGTATTGATGTAAGAAGAGTATACTTGAAGACAAAATGGCAAACAGACAGCCAGAAATAAAAGTAAAGCATCTCATCTAAAGCTCAAGATTACAACTATTGATCAAAGTTGACCACATTAGAAAAGAGAAAAACTGGAGGGAGGAGAATTAAATGAATTCAAAAGCAACAAGATACATACTATATACGTAAATTTTTGCACTCCAAACAAACAGAGAAACAAAATTATCATGAACTACTACCTAAATCTCATCTTTATTCGCTAGCCTCTTGGAAACTATACTTCTCTGTTTAGTTGCAGCTTTTAGCTCCATTAAAAATTTTACAAAGAGTAAAACAGATAGTATAAAGCAAAATCATAATAACTGATTAAAAATGAAAAACGACTAAAATGCAACATCAATTAACATAATTGTTGCATACAAAAGTAAAATAATGCATTTTAGTATCTAGAAGCTTTTTTTTTTATGAAAATTGTATCCATTTGCGATTAGAGTGAAAAAAAAAAAAAAAAGCACACACACACACATAAGCAATTAGTAGCAAGATATACCTGCTCACGTCTTCTTCCATCTGCAAAGGAAACGAAAATATTACATGGCGGCTTGAAAACTCCAACAAGGTAATTCTGCACAAGATCAGAAACCAAATTTCATAAACAAGTTTTCATAAATAAAGATTCTTTTGAGAAGGTAAGACATAAAAAGAAAAAAAAATTGCAATTTCCTGAGAAATAATACCATGATGCTTTACTGGACTCCTGAATGGAGACTTTGCCAAGCATGAAGAACCTGAAAAGAGTAACATAGTATTTTGAAAATTTGAAATCAATAAAGGTAATTTTAGAAAGTAGTCGGAAAACGGAATCAGATCAAAGAAACAACCAGAAAATGGAAAATTTACCTTAATTAGGGTTCTTAGAGGAAGATTTGACCGTTGAGGTGAGAGCTGATCAGCGGTAACAAAATTAAAAGTTATTAGCATTAGCGTTTTCGCTTCTGCTGCCAGCCAGTCTCCGTCGCGTTTTCGGTGACTTTCAGTTTTTCACTGTTAAAAGCTTTCACATTTCACCTTTGAGTTTGACGGGTTGTAAGTAGGGATAGCAATGAACGGGTGGGCTTTTGCTCGGTTTTTGCCCGTGTAAAATTCGATTCTATTTAATATTGTGTAAAATTATATTCAATCTAAAATTAATAAAATATTATTTTTAATATAAATATAAAATTAAATAAATATATAATATATATAATTAAATAAATAATTAAAAAATAATTTTTATATATATTAAATTAAATTAGATTCAATTTATTTAAAATTTGATTTCAATTCGATTTTTTTTATTACTTAATTTGACTTGATTGAATACTTAATTTAAAAAAAAAATCAACCTTAAAAAATTAAATAAGATCAAAACTCATTAAATTTGAGTTGAATTATCTTCCTTAATTGTAAATGTACCTCACCTTTTCCACTTCACTTTTTTTTCTTAAATAAAATTATTTAATTTTTTTTGTAAGTTTACAAAGATTTATATCCAATAAATTTATAACTTACCGAAAATCATAATTTATTTTTTTAAAGAAAATTTATAAAATCTTTAAAGAAAATTATAAAAAAAGAATTTTATTAAAAATTTTTATTAATTAATATAATAAAAAATTTTATTAAAAAATAAATTTTACAAATAATAAAAAGAAGTTAATTTTATCATTTTAACCTTAGAAAAAAATAAAATTTTATAATACCTTAGTTAAACATTTCATCTTTTAATGTTACGAGAGATGATAAAAAGATTTATTAAATCTAATTAATATTTGAAAGCTAAAACTCTTTTAAATTGTATTATTAATATTATTAAATACTACATAATTTTATCAAAATTTAATATATTAACTAAAAAAACTCATCATAATAAATAAATTGAGACTTTTTCAAAAAGTTTTAATTTAGTTAGAATTATTATAAAATTTTAATAATTAATAAAAGAAATATTTATTAAAAAAATAATAAATTCTAAATTTATAAAAAATTATATTTATTATTTTATTCCTAATTTATTAAGAGTCTCATAAGATTTTATTTTTTTTAAGTCAAAATAATAAAATTAATTATTTTATTTTTAAAATTTATAATTTTTTTCAATAATAACTTTTTTGTTACACCAATCAATAAATATTTGTAATAAACTTTCATTTTTCGTTTTTTTTTTTTTTTAAATTTGAGATCTTTACCCTTTCAAAAATGAATTTCTTAAAAGTTTTCAGTAAATTATAAAACTTTTTGAAAAATTATTTTTGGATATGTATCTAAAATTTGTAAAAAGAGTAATTAAGTAATTTTATTTATAAAAATTTAAAAAAAAAATTTAAAAGCAAAATGTAGGATTTATTTATAGCGCCTCTTTGAAAAAACTTGGATTGAAGAAAAGAATAAGTTAATAAATGTGGTTTAAAACGCTATTAATGTGTAAGACTACGTTAATACCAGTACAAGACTAACGAAAGGTATTGAATGGGCTTTAACATTTTTTCTTTTGTCTGTCAAAAGCCTCTCTTTTCTTTATTCTTTTTATATGATAAATTTCATTAAAAAATGAAAAACAAAATACTAATACTATATTTAAGTAAAAAAAAAAAAACTCAAATTCAAGCTTGAAGAGTAATAATATATCTAAAATTTAATTTAATTAATTTATATAATTATTTTAAAAAATAATATTAAATAAATTTAAAAACTAAATTTTAATTCATGTAATTTTTTCAAGCCTCGAAGAATGACAGATCACACCCACAGCTGGTATAAAATGCGAAAAAGGTAAATTCAAGTATTGAATTTGAACCAAAAAATGTGCAATTGTAAAAATTGTCCCCTTAGTATATGGAAGTGGGCGTCTAATTACGTTGGTTTCTAGGTGTATAATCGAGTTGAGTCGATACAGTGAAAAATTCGAGCTCGAACTTGACTCACAACTCGCGATTCGATGTTCGGTTCGAACTCGATCGAGTTTTATTTTTCAAGTTCGAGTTCGATTCGTGATCGAATTTGAGCTACTCGAATTCATTTGATTAATATGTAAAAATAAACTCGATTCATATACTCGACAAAAATTCGATTATTTATGTTTGAGTTCGAACTCGAATTCGAAATATTTTATTAATTAAAATAATAAAAATATATTTAAATATAAAAACTTCATTAGGCTCGCGAGCTACTCGAACTAGATATAAAAATACTCGAATTTGACTCGATCGAAAAGTCAAGCTACTCGAGCTCGACTCGATAATAATCGAATCGAGTTCGAGTTTTCTTCGAATCGAATCCAAATAACTTACAAGTACTAATGTATCATTTACACCCCTATTGACTTCTCCATGGGCGCCCTATTTACCTAAGGTAACTATATATATGTGTATATTATTAGTTTCTTTATCTATATTATTTTATAAAGTGTTTAGTTGTATCGAGTGACACAAATTTATTTAAGAAAATTATAAAAAAAAAATAAACAAAATCATAATATCATACAATAAAATATGGATATTTATGTCTGTTATCTATTGGATTAATTAACATATAATTGAAATTAGCACTTAAAGATTACATATTCGAAAGAGTTTTAAAGTGTAATATTTTTTTTTAACCAAATATATAGTAAGGTAGAGAAGTTTAAAAATAGATTATAAATTAAAAATATGTATATATAAGGGTATTCGTATGTTTCAATACTTATTTTCTTAAAAAACTAACTTCTTTTTTAAAAAGACTACCAATTTTCTTTCCTCCAAAAATATTATTTTCATATTTTTTCCATCTCATGAAATGGGTGTTCAGGTTAATAGTTACATTAATTTTTTTGTGTCATCTTGTTAATTTCATTGACAAAATTTTAAAATTTCATTAAAAATGGATGGATTAATTTTTCTATATTAATAGAATGGAACTACACTTGTAAATTAAAATGATTTTCTTGGCAAAGAAAATGGATTAGTATCGTCTCACCATTTATCCACTTGATTTATTCTACAGGTAGAAAAAAAAAAAAAAAACCATAAATCTCGTATTGAAAACATTACCTTTCAAACTTAATTTGGGCTAAAATGCAAATATCTAATTATGATAAAAGAAGCGCAAAACTTATAATTACAAATATTTGCAATAAAAGTTTTTTAAATATATAAAATATTTAACAAAATTCAATACTCTATTAATTCGTCACATTACTATTGGTAAAAAATATAAATATTTGCAATAAAATTTTTTTAAGAGTAAAAATCTAGTAATACTAGTATAACTCATATTTTTTTATCATTAAATTATAATAGTTAAGATTAAAAATATTATTTTAATTTAAATTAGTTATGAATTTAATTTTGATTTAATGATAAAAAAAATGTAAAAATTACATTAGTATAAGTGGATCTCTTATCTTTTGTAAAATATATACATATATATTGATGTACTAATTAAAATGAATATATATCCACTTACACCAATGTAATTTTTATATTCTTTTATCTTTAGATCAAAATTAATTTATAACTAATTTTAATTAAAATAATATTTCTAATTTTAATAATTTTGATCAAAGAATAAAAAAAAAGTGCAAAATTCAAACCATTTTATGTGGATCACTTCTCAATTAAAATTAAATAAAATTAAACCTAACGAGAGGTATCAAATGAGTAAATTTCATATATATATTTTTTATAATGACAACTAGTTTAATATGTAAATTTAGTTCTAGTCATGCACATTAATTATGTTTGTTTATATCATCATTTCCTGTTATTAGAAAAAGAAATTCTTAAAGTATTAATTGACGTTTTGTTTCGTTACCTTTTAATTTTTAATTTTTTTAAATTTGCTAGGAATCCAAAACACAGAAATAAAAATGAAGAAGCATTTTTTATTGAAAATGAAATTAAAAAAATTTTACATGTATGTTATTAATTTCCCACGCTAACTGCTTATATATCAAATATAAATATTATTTATTTTAATATAAAATTTTTTGAATAGATTTTTTTCGTTATACTTTCTTAATAACAGATTTTTATCTAAAATTATAGCTTATATAGTATCTTTTCAGTTTGTAAAATCTCAACCATTGATTTTATTATAATCAATAGTATAATAGCAGTTGATTTTGGTTGCTTCTTTGTTGATTAAATAGTAAGTCCATAATTAAGATTGTAATGATATTTTGAATGAAAGTATCACAGTCTCTTCTTAATCTACTCTACTATAGAATTTGAATATTACTTGACTTAAGTCATTCTAAAAGTATTCTAAATTATCACATCGTAGGTAGGATTTCATGGCAGGTTCTCCATGCAAAAAGTTTTACCTTCGGAGGTAATGAGGTTTCCCATATTTTCCTCCGGAGCAGCGAATGGTTTACTACCTCTATCTCTGTCGCAATCTGTGCTCTGTATCCACTTTTGGTAGTATATTCCCCAAGCTTAGTGTGATGCCAAATTATCTTGTCAGGTATTCCAGCTTTTCTCAATGGGATAGCGCATATAGCTTCTGCCTCGGCTTGGTTGAATTCCATGCATATGAGCTCCTTTCTCCATCTGCCATTTTCCACGTCTATTATACTTTCCACCAACTCATCCTCCATTGCAGTATTTGGAATTGAGTTTGGCCTGAAGTTTCCTAATATTGGTAACCACCTGTCCCGCCATATACAAATACTCTTCCCATCATCGACTCTCCATCGTACACCATTTTCCAATACATGCTTTGCCTCCCAGATGCTTATAAGCTAAACACACACAATACATATTCCTTGTCAACCAAAGCCTCAACATACACTGAATTTCTTTTTACCTTCATTGCAGGAACACGAAGGACCCATAAAAGCAACAAATAAAAGCGTTTTATTTAAATTTTAAATAAAAGAACATATGTTATCATGCTACATATAAATTTTTAGAGCTGTAACTTTGAATTTAACTATTGTTCTTTTTTCTAAAACCATTTTCATGTTAAATTTATGAAATAACTTAAAACTTTGGCTTTAATTTGATTCAATTATCTTCACTGTTATCTTTTACTTTAATATTAATTTGATTCAACTATCTGCTATCTTTCATTTGAACAACTAACATAAAAATCTTTAAAATAAACCCGCAGCATTGCGCGGG